GAAGCACTGATTTATAAACTCTCAATCTCAAGTAACTTCACGCTGCCAACATCCTGATCAGTTCAACAAATGGAAACCCATCCTTTACTGCATAGAGAGTCTTTGACTTTGGAAACATTTTCCCATCTTAAAACAGGAAAATGCAAACACTGGTCTCTTAATTTTTTCAGAAATTACTAAAAACATCATAAGTGTGTGTAAAGGTGGCACAAAGTAAAGTGTATATGTCTTTATGTAATAGCTCCAAATGAGTAAAGTGGCAAAATTTCAAGCTATGAAAAATGGAAGCTGCCTTTTATTTCATTTAAATTTAAACTCACATCTCAAAAAAAAAAGCTTTTATTTTACTTTTTCCAAAAGGATTGAAAGAAAAAAAAATCACCTATAACCAAAAACAAATACAATAAATTACAACTAACATAGAAATAGTAAATTCAAAAGCCACAGAAAAGACAAAATATATAGCAAAAAACACAGGTTGATTTATCAAGGATAAAGGTAAATTTTCCCTTCATCTTAAGATATACGTGGTGGTTATATTTGTGTGTCAACTTGGCTGGGCCTGGTTGAGTGGCTGGGCAGCTGGTGGTAGTTATTCCCCATGATGAGACTGGCAGTCAACTCCATGGTGGGATCTACCACAAGCAGCTGAGTAGCTGCCTTTGGGATGTGGTCTGCTTCCCGTATATAAGGAAAAGCCTTGGGAATGGTCTGTAACCTATGGCACGCTTGGACCCTGTATGTAGCCGTGTCGTTGCTCAGCAGCCTGGTATGCTCTGCCGACCTTGGGACTTACAATGAACTTAAGTTTGCCTGCCATGTGGTTTGGTAACATTGGGACTGTCCCTTTTTACTTGTCAACCTTGGGGCTTCTCAGCCTCAACAGCCTGCAGCTGTCTGAGTAAGAAATGCCTCTAGCTCCAGAGGGCTAGGAGCAGGGGGCAGAGCTGGACCCCAAAGTTGAGGGGCTTTCACCCAGCCCCTAGAGCCTGGCACTTTGCACTTGGACGTAAAGCCTCCAAATTGTAAGAATAAACTCCTGTTTGTTAAGGCCATCCCATTTGTGGTATATTTCTTGTCAGAGCGGCACTAGGTAACCAGAACAATATAGTTCCTACACAAAAAGCAGGATAAATGTTTGAATCTGTCACATTATTAGTGTTGTATTGCACTTGGCAAATCTGCTGCAAAAAAAACTTCTTTAAAGTGTTGAAGAGCAAAGATGTCACTTTGAAGAGTAAGGTGTGCCTAACCCATGCCATGATATTTTCAATCACCTCACATGCATGGGAAAGGTGGACAATGAATAAAGAAGGCTTTAGAAGAGTTAATGCTTTTAAACTATGATGTTGGTGAAGAACAGTGAACGAAGAATGAACGAATTTGTCCTGGAAGAAGTGTAGCATGAGTGTTCCTTGGAAGTGAGAATGGCCAGACTTCATCTCACCTATTTTGGTCATGTTATCAGAAAGGACCATACCGAAGAGAAGGATATCATGCTTGGTAAAGTAAAGGGTCAGCGAAAAAGAGGAAGACCCTCAACAAGATGGACTGACATAGTGGCTGCAATGATGGGCTCAGGTATAGCAAAGATTGTGAGGCTGGCACATGGCTGGGCAGTGTTTCATTCTGTTGTACATAGAGTTGCTATGAGTTGGAGCCAACTCAATGGCACCTAACAACAACAACAAAGATAAATTTTCCTTTCATCTTAACATACAGTTCCTATACAAAAAGCAGGATAAATGTTTGAATCTGTCACATTATTAGCAGTTTCAAAATAATGAGTCAGTCCCACAACATTCTCCAATGATAACCAATGAGTTTTTAGTTTTTAAGTACCTTTGTGAACTCAGAGATGTAAATATATTTGATATGTTTCAATCCACTGTAAATATTATTAATTTTGATACTCATATTTCCCCACCTTGGCCAGTGGTAACTATCCCAGATGGCTTCTGAACCCTTTTGATACAATCCTAATAGTCTATGAAAGCTCCCTTGCTTACCTTGTATAATTACTGCCCCAAACTGGGAATCAGCCACTTCTCCAAAGAGTCCTGGTTCTTTTTAGTGGGAAATGGTATTGTTGTTGTTGTTGTTATTTGCCATCGAGATGGACCCAACTCATAGTGACCCCTCCTTGGGTTTCTGAGGCAGTAACACTACGTAAGTAGATTGTCCCATTTTCCTTCCGAGGAGTGGCTGGTGGGTTTGAACCACCAGCCTTTTGGTTAGCAGTCAAGTGCCTTAGGTACTACGCCAGCAGAGCTCCTGGAAATGGTTTTAGATAGCACAATTTGGACACTAAAGGTATTCATTACTATTGGGCAATTGTCTCTAGGCTTTTTTTTTTTTTTAAGGATAAAGGTAGGAAATTTTTTTTGAATAAAACACACCATGAATTCATAGTTTTGTTTCCAATTTAAATTTAAAATTACAGGGTTTTTACTTAAATTCATCAATCATTAATCTGTGTATCTTTATTCCATACCAAAAATTCTGGTTCTCAAAGACATTACTAATTATCCCACAATATATCTGTAATAGTTTCAGAATAACAATATCAACATTACCACCAACAATGTGACTACATTAAGCCATTTTTGCATTTCTTTTTATCATTAGTGTAAATCCCACTTGGGATGTCATAATCAAATTATTGTGTTTTAAATTCACTTAAGTAGTTTGGAGGCATTTTAGACTATTATGATTAAAAAAAAAAAAAACTCTTCATGATACAGTGGAGAAAAAAATTAAATTTGTTAGCTCCGTACACATATAAGGAAGCTCTGGTGGCATAGTGCCTAAGGCACTTGACTGCTAAGCAGAAGGTTGGTGGTTCAAATCACCAGCCATTCCTCGGAAGGAAGATTGGGTAATCTACTTCCGTAGTAATACTGCCTCAGAAAACCAAGGAGGGGTTGCTATGAGTTAGAGACAACTTGACGGCATGTAACAACATATACATATACATATAAAGAATGTTGTTCAGTTAGTCCCAGGGACTAGTGGACCATGTGAACCTCAGCCTATATGACCATGAGACCAGAAGAACTAGGTGGTGCCCAGCTACCACTGTCAACCACTCGGAAAGGGGTCAGTGCAGGAGATCCTGGATAGAGTGGGAGAACAATGTGGAATAAAACTCAAAATCATAAAAAAGATCAGGCTTGCTGGTATAATAGAGCCTGGTGAAACCCCAGAGACTATGGCCCTCTAGTCACTCCTCGGAAGGAAGATGGGACAATCTACTTCCGTAGTGATGCTGCCTCGGAAACCCAAGGAGGGGTCGCTATGAGTCGGGTCCGACTCGACGGCACATAACAACAACAACAACAGTCACCCTTCAGGCCTAGGATTGAACTCACTCCCGTGGTTTCCAGCCAAACAATAGACAGGTATATAGGGTGAACATTTACATCAGGGAGATAGACTCCTTAGAACAATCAATCATGGGAGAACAGAAGGGCAGTATTTGCACAAGGAGATAGCTCAGGGGGCAGGGATGCATAAGAAAGAAGGACACAGGGAGAAAGTAGGAAGAGAGCTATTATATTGTGGGGAGTCACAGTCAATGTTGTGAAACAAAATGTGTGTGAATTGCTGTATGGAAAATGAATTTGCCCTGTAAACTTTCACAAATCACAATTAAAAAAAAAAAGAAAAAAGAGTGTTGTTCAGGCCTCTAGATTCTAAATGTAGAGCCAATTGGTACAGGTGCTTTAGTGACACTATTTGGAATCAACTTTTGTGTTAATTTCACTTGGCAAGTACTAAGGGATGATGACCACAGATTGTCTTGTGCCTGCAAAAACATAACATAGCTAAATTCTTTGGTTGTAATATCTTTAAAAGGTCACAAGAATATGTTATTTCACATTTATATATGTATTTATATATATCATTTTCTCCGTTCATTTCTCTGCATCAGTCACTGTGTTTCTCACATTCTGTCTGCTTCTCTCTCTCTTTTTCTCAATAACTTTTTTCATTGTCTTTCTTCCTTAACTGGCCATGATACAGAATCAAAGCACCTTTTCATTATTTGTCACATTTATGTGCGCTATTTTATGTTCATTATTCTTAATTTTTAATGGATGAGTGCATTTTTAAATGTTTTTTTCTCTCTAGAATAATAGATCCTATTACTTCTGACTGTGGAGGCTGTCGATTGAGTTCCACTCCCTCTCTTTCCCTCCCTGTGGATTAGTGGCCCTCAAAGAATTCTATACCCATTCTTTCATCACCTCTTCTTCATTCTTTCCTAGCCTACCTCCCCTAGCAACTCAGGAGGTTACATTTCTTGTGTATTGGTATGGTGGAGTGAGAGGGAATTGCTGCCCAAGATAAAGGAATGGAAATGGAGGAGGTGGGGGTGATAGACAGCTGCAGGGATCTGAGCTGGATGCACTGAGCAAACCCTCATCCTAAACAACTTGGAGCTCAGATTTCTCCTCTGGACAGCTGGCTTTTTCAGTTCAACCGAAATACCTGCAAAGATGGGGGGAGGAGCTGTGGCTATATTTGCTATAGATTTTATTTAAAGTGAGCTACCTCCCAGATCTTATCTGTAGAAACTGAATGCAATGTTCAACACAGCAGGGACTAGAGTGGTGAAGGAAATGTATCCATTTTCCATTACAATTTTTCAAGGCCAGAAGCTCATTATTAAGAATGCTGGAGGGCTGCCTGGAGTAAGCAGTTATTATAGAGTCATACAAGCTGGAATTGGACATTTGATTTGCCTGTCATATTTCTCTTCCTCCTCTCTGCCTCTCCCCCCCCCCCCGACTACTACCTTGGCACCCTATTCCATATTTTTCCTAATCCTACCTCCCCCACTACCCCCCCACACACACACCCTACCCCCACCAACGTTCCTGGAATTTTGGACTTAGCTATTTTTAAAACCGTCAACTCAGTAGCCACCTCCCTCCCCCGCCCAGCTGTCCAGTACTCCAGCCAGCCATATACTCCCCCTTCCCCCAAAACCAAACCTTCTCTGTCTCCCTAACCTCAGTGAGATTGCAGCCAGGCTGAGACCTGTGGGAGACATGGAAAAAGAGACAAGGGACCCCCTGGCTGGATCTAACCAACAGAGTAGGCAGTCATGGCTGGAGACTTGGATAGCAGAGTAATGTTTGACCTCTGGAAACAGTAAGTCACAATGCAATTGCAATTGCTTTAATAAGCTCTTGGATTGAAGCTAGATTTTTATAAACCACAGATGCCTATTTGGGGGTCTCTGGTCCATATGCTAGGATCTCTCCCATACCATGGTGCTTCAATCTCCATTTCTCTTTCTGTCTCCATTTCTTTCTGGCATTGGGCCATTTGAAGCTTAATACTCCTTTCTCCTCTGGCTGTCTTCACTCCCTTCTTACTTTCTATCCCAAGACTTCTGAAGAAGTTTTGGGAGGAGTTCCCCACACCCTCCATTCTGTGGTTTTCTCACCAAGGCCAAATTTAGTCTCATATGATTACTCACTGACACCCTTCCACCCTATCCCTACTTTTTATCAGTGCCCTTCACCTTGTGTTTCCAAGGGTGGGGTTACTTCCTGTAAATGATTTCTCCCCACAACTCTAGTCCCTCCATCCTATTCTCCTTCATACATGACTCTTCTCTCCCACATCATATCCTTACCCCAAGAGAGGAGAGCTCAGCAGGAGGAAGTTGGCCCTTCCCTGACTCCCACCCTCATTAAAAGAGGGATTGAGAACTTCTGAATTTGTCAAGGAAAGAATAATGGGAAAAGTGGTTTTTTGGTTTTTTTAGTTAGGTTTAGAAAAATGCACAAACTGTTGATTCAGAAAACAACAAATATTGATTTGCACGCTTGGTTTGTATCCCATTATTCCATTAGAAGGAGGGATTATAATTGTGGGTCTCTAGAGCAGATAAAAAGGGTTGGTTCTCTTTTCATTTGTATACTCATGTTCTCGGGAGGAGACAGATATTCCACCCTTACTCTTTCTCACTGGAAATTCTGATGCAAAGTAAAAAAAGAAATGAATGGCTCCTGGAGGGTGTTCCCTCCTGGTAGTGAAGGGCAAATAAGAAGTATGTTTCTGAAGTATTTTCAGATCCTAATTCTATTAGAAGGAACTCTGGTGGCACAGTGGTTGAGCCCTTGGCTGCTAACTGAAAGGCGAGCGGTTCCCGTCAGTCACTCCATGGGAGAAAGATGTGGCAGCCTGCTTCCGTAAAGATTACAGCCTTGAAAACGCTACGGAGCAGTTCTACTCTGTCCTATAGGTTCACTATGAGTTGGAATCGATTCAGTGGCACAAAACAACAACAAATTCTATTGGAGTGTCCACTGGGGTGACCGGGATCTGATCTACTCCTGTGACTCTTCAATTTTTGACATTTCTGCTGTTTGGTAGCTCAGGATGGGTCAATACAGTGGACTCTGTCCCCCAAGTCCACTCAATTTTCCTCCACCCCCAGACAAAAATATTGCACAAGGGACATGAAAGTAGCCACAGCAGCAGGGCATGGAGGCTTACAGCCACAGTTATAGTTTGGGGAGTCCTAATTTCCCCAAACTGCTGTCCTCTCATCCTTTTCTTGATCTCCTCAGATTCTCTTCATGTAACCCTGACCAATCTTCAACTCTTTTTTTCTCCCCTATGCCCAGCCAAATTTCTCTTTTGAGTGCCATACAGGACGTCTGGTCAAAATTCGCTAGGTAGGAGGGTCACCAGCTGGAAAGAACCGGAGGCTGGGGGGGACCTGGATGGATAGGTATGGGGGATCCAGGCCAGTCCTCCAGTCCTCGGTCCCCCCATGGCAGTCCCCCAACTCTAAGCACTCTTACTCTCCTGCTGCTTCTCTGTGGACATGGTAAGGAAAAGCCAGGGAAGGGTTTGGGGAATTCTAGTGGGTAGGCCTCTATGTAGGGGTGGGTATGTGAATAGTGGCGTCACTAGGGTGGTACAGGGAGTGTGGACCACACTGGGTGACATTGTCAGAGGAGATGACACCAAAATGACTGCCTATAGAATTTTTGTGCAGTGTTTCAGCAGAAATTTATTATTTTTCATAAAAATATCCCTGCAGTTAATTATCGCCTCGGAAACCCAATGAGGGGTCGCTATGAGTCGGAATTGACTCGAAGGCACTGGGTTTTTTTTTTTTTTTTTTTTTTAGTTAATTATAAAAACAAAAACATCTTTTGTAAGCCCCCCTTACTTGCATCAATATGCCTACTCAGAACGCTAAAACTCTGTGGTAGTTTACTTTTTGAACCTTTCAAAGTGCTCAATTACAGTGACCCTTGTTATCACGTGGTTTCATCAGTAAGCGCTACAAGCATGCGCTGTTGTTTTAGTTGCTATTGGTGTTTTTATAGTGGATGACTTTGTCAAATGTTCTGTTTTAGCCACAATATTGTGATAATTAATATTTGTGAACCTATATCAATAACTTTTTTTGAGAATGAAGTAGTAATTATAGGAGAAAAATCAAAAAACCTTCTCAGTTACTAATAATATTGTAGCTAATAATGTGTTTCAATGTAGAAAAGATTTTACAAAACAATTTTGTTGTTCGTTTTCATGTAATCTAAAAAATATTGCCCTTAAGCAATTTAGGAGCTCTGGTGGTCTAGTGCCTAAGGCATTTGTCTGCTAGCCAGGAGGCTAGTGGTTCAAATCCACCAGCCACTCCTTTGAAGGAAGGTTGGACAATCTACTTCCTTAGGTAGAGATACCGCCTCGGACTTGATGGCAGTGAGTTTGGGTTTTTGGTTAAGCAATTTACAACTGTATCACACATTATGATTAAAATTGATAAACATTACTAAGGATTCTGTATAGACTAGTACGGGAGGAGGTCCATGGGGGAGGGGCGGTGGCACTGCATGACACCAACCTTAGTGACGCCACTGTATGTGAGCAGGTGAGGCGAGAAAAGATGGGAGCTGAGGAGTCACAGTCACTCGCCCCACTCAAATAGGTATATTTTAATTCACATTCAACTTGGGGAAGGCCACTGGGGAAGCCCTTGGTCCACAAAGCTAAGACGTCTACCGGGCTTACAATTTTGTTAAGGCTGAGTGAGGACAGGGCTAGGTGGCTGTGGGCTGGAAAAGGCCCTCAGCTAATTTTAGGAATGGCTGGAATCCCTTAATGAAATTTGAGAGAGTCAAAAGAATACTCTGGTGAAGCGGTCTCACAATCCCCTCCTTTCCTCCCTCAGCTCATTCTCAATGCAAGATCCTCCGCTGCAACGCTGAGTATGTATCGTCCACGCTGAGCCTTAGAGGCGGCAGTTCACCTGGAGCGCTTCGAGGAGGAGGAGGAGGCCGGGGTGGAGGGGTGGGCTCCGCTGGTCTTTGTCGTGCCCTCCGCTCGTACGCGCTCTGCACTCGGCGCACGGCCCGCACCTGCCGAGGGGACCTCGCCTTCCACTCGGCAGTGCATGGAATCGAAGACTTAATGATTCAGCACAACTGCTCCCGCCAGGGCCCCACGGCCCCGCCCCCGCCCCGGGGCCCCGCCCTTCCAGGCACCGGCCCAGCCCGCTCCTCCGGCTCCCCGGCCCCAGACCCCTGTGATTATGAAGGCCGGTTTTCCCGGCTTCACGGTCGTCCCCCAGGCTTTTTGCATTGCGCCTCCTTCGGGGACCCTCACGTGCGCAGCTTCCACCACCACTTTCACACGTGCCGTGTCCAAGGAGCTTGGCCCTTGCTGGATAACGACTTCCTCTTTGTCCAGGCCACCAGCTCTCCCGTGGCTTCAGGGGCCAACGCCACCACCACCCGGAAGGTCAGGAACTCAATTACTCCTCCCGACCCAACCCATGAGAACTTTTCATGGTCACCTCACGGTTCCATTCTCTCTCCATCCCCACTATTCCACCCCAAGGCTTTCTTTCCCTTTTCCTTCTCAACCACTCCCCCATCTTGAATCAACTTGGTCCTGTAAATCACTTTCCTTTGATGGGAATTTCTTTCAAGCCCAGAAAACACTAAAGAGAAAGCTGAGAAGAGGAGCACGGAGGAGCCCTGGGTTGTGGAGTTTCAGAAGGGAATCCCTTCTGTGGGAGTTGCTGGGAATGACACCAAAATAGGAGCCCAAGGGGTGAAGTTGGGTTGAGACAATATTAGAACATGTATAGCGGAAGGGATCAAGGAGTGAAGGTCATCAAAAGCCTTGCACATAAACTTGAATCAGATCCCTGACTACTTTCTCAGGCCTGATTGGGTTGGGGAAGGGTGCACTGAGCCCAAAATGAATTATTTTTCCTCTTTCCCTCACAGCTCACCATCATATTTAAGAACATGCAGGAATGCATTGATCAGAAGGTCTACCAGGCTGAAGTGGACAATGTTCCTGCAGCCTTTGAAGATGGTTCTATCAATGGAGGTGACCGTCCTGGGGGCTCAAGTTTGTCCATTCAGACTGCTAACCCTGGGAGCCACGTGCAAATCCAAGCTGCCTATATCGGCACAACCATAATCATTCGGCAGACAGCTGGACAGCTCTCCTTCTCCATCAAGGTAGCTGAGGAGGTGGCCAGGGCCTTCTCAGCTGAGCAGGACCTGCAGCTCTGTGTGGGAGGGTGCCCTCCAAGTCAGCGACTCTCACGATCAGAGCGCAATCGTCGGGGAGCTATAACCATTGATACTGCTAGACAGCTGTGCAAGGAAGGACTGCCAGTTGAAGATGCTTACTTCCATTCCTGTGTCTTTGATGTTTTAATCTCTGGTGATCCCAACTTTACTGTGGCAGCTCAGACAGCTCTGGAGGATGCCCGAGCCTTCCTGCCAGACTTAGAGAAGCTGCATCTCTTCCCCTCAGATGGCGGGGTTCCTCTCTCTTCAGCAACCTTCCTCACTCCACTCCTTTCTGGCCTGTTTCTTCTGTGGCTTTGCAATTCCACGACGAGTTTGGGAATGATATGGGGATAGAGATTGTCAGGAAGGAACATAAACACTGAAGGAAACAGTGGGAACTTGGAGAGACCTGAAACAATGAGTCAGATGAATCCAATCAGATAAGGCTGCAGGACCAGAGTTGAGGGGATTGAAGAAGAAGGATTCTGGGCAAAGATTTTCCCTTCCACACCTCTCTAGGGGCGCTTCACTAAATTTCTCAGTCTCCTTTATAGTAAGCAGATTGCACCAGTCCATTTACTCCTGAGATAACTTGTACAGGCTTAGAGGTTAAAGGGAGGTCCTGATGATCAGTAGAAAACTTAAAGGTTGAGACTTCCAAGAGGGAAGAACTGAAAGAGGAAGGTATGGTAACTATTGTTTGTTTCCGCAAATAACACTTCCATGTAAATAACATGTGTGTGTGTGTGTGTATATATATATATATATAAAAACACACACATATACATACATAGATATATATAACATGCATAACATTCATAGGAAACTAATGCACAAGAGAGTTTTTTTTTTTTTAATGTATAATGTATGCTATTTGCATGACAATATGGTACCTATAAGAAACTAAGGGAGCTCTGGTGGATTAGTGCCTAAGGCATTTAACTGCTGACCAGAAGGCTGGAGGTTCAAACCCACTCCTCAGAAGGAAGATTGGGCAATCTACTTCTGTGGTGATACTGCCTTGGAAACCCAAGGAGCAGTCGCTATGAGTCAGATCTGACTCAACTGCAGTGAGTTGGTTTTTGCTTTTATAAGAACTAAAGATTCTCTTAG